GCTGTTTCTTTCTACACTGGTAATGTTCCTGAAGTTGGATGGATTGGATCTCTTGAAGTGGAATGAATCTGGGATGGCCTCCTCTTCAAATAATCTGTAACAAGATTCTGTTTTGTTTCTCTAGGGATTCCTTTCACTAAGGTGGGAAAGGGAGGCTCCATGGGTAATGTTAACCTATGCAAAGTTACCAAGTGGTGGTAGTTGCTAGAATGGAAGACACTTTTTGGTTCTCATTCTGATGCAGTGTCCTGAATTTACTCTTTTCCTGTGAGTATTCTACTCTACCCTACTGCACACCCCATTGTCATGTGGATATATGTTTACCATAGGTCTTTAACCTGACCTCCCCAAGAAGACAAAGCAAACAGATGTACATGAAGCTATCTTATGCAGTAACAAATGTGAAATTCGAGCATTGCTTTGCAAGTATTGTATAAATAACAAGTCTGTAAACAAATTTCTTATGTAAACATACAGGGGAATAAAGACTTTTATCTGTTCAAATGAGAGCATGATGTTTAGAGATGTAAATAATTCAAAATAGCTGCTCTTGTCCTGAGCTGAAAACCCACTTTCGCAAAAAGGATTTAATCACGCTACCGAATGACAGTAAACACGAATGCACAAGAAAAGTGTGAGCCCATGTGAGAGACACACCAAAGACGTTCGAATGAGTTGTAGTCACACTGGAGAATAAAACTTTTCATGGTCAAGTAGAACAAAATACGTGTGAGCCTACATTTGCTTTGATCAGACCTGGGGTTGTAAATCGCAGTGCAGATTTGCAGCTGCTGTTCTCTCATTTGCTCTTTAGTATACCCAGGCCTGTTTAACTGAACATTTTAGGTTGAGAAAAACAACTTTATGCTCAGTGAGAAATTGCTCTCATTTAATTGCCTTATAGGCTTGAGAGCACAGTATCCGTAGCTACTGATGGCCCAGATCCAGTTGTGAGTTTTACTGTAGCCACCCAGCATATGGTAGAACCAAATGTAAGCATTTATTTTTGAAGTCAATAAGCCATGGAAATCATTTGGTTAGCGTACATCCCTTGATTCTTTGATTTGGTTCCAAGACTGAATTTCAGCTGATGCTGCATTTCTGAAGTTCCTGTGGAAGGGCTATTTTGCTTCCTATATTCACTAACTGCATGAGAAAGTTTCTCAATGTTCCATAACTTTAAGTATTTGGCAAGAATTATGTCTTTGCTATTCCCTTTAACTGTTATTTTTGTTCATGGAATGGAGAAAAAAAAATCTGATATATTGGATTAAGGAACATTCAGCCTGAAATTTAGTCTTTGGATTTTGGTTCTGTAGAGCAATCTGATGACCCTTACTTTGTTAATCAGATAAAACTTCCACAGTCAGCCCATCCAGCACTTACTTTTGGTTGTTTTGGAAGTTAACAGGGACTGGTGAGGTCAGTGACCAAGTCATCAGGCACTTTTGGGGGCCGCTTTGCTACTCGCTAAAGCACACGAGTTCTTACTGAAGTCTGTGTAACTTGGAGCCTCAAAATAGACAAAATGGAGTTGCCATGAGGGAGGTATCAGAAAGTGTGCTTTAACCTAGCCTATAGTCCTACAAAGCAAGAAAAAAAGTGTGTTTTGACTTATTGCTTAATTTGATATACTAAGTCAAAATAAAAAGAGCCATGACCCAGTTCGAGAGAATTATAACAGAATGACTAACTTAGGCTCCATGCTAAGTAAGATCCTTGTATAGACTATGAGGGCAGACTCTGAGCCTAAGCCCCTGAGGAACAGGCTTGCTTTGAGTTCTGTGGTCACAAATTATCTGCTGTGTATGTCACTGGTCACCAGAAGAACTAGTCCAAGACTTGAGGTTAAATTGATATAAACTCTTCATTGCTATTAGGCAGTTACATCAAACAAGTTTTTCTGTTTTACATCAAACAAGGGTATCTTTGTATGCAGTGACTCTTTACATTTTCCCAAGAGCACAGTCACCTATTACAAGAAAAAGACCTTTAATTGCTAATGACTTCATGTCTACCTTCTATTTATAGTTATTTGAAATCTCTTCTCTTAACTACCTTGTTTATTCTGCAACTACCCCTAGATTTCCCAAAGGGAGTATAGATGTGTGGGCTTCCCCATACCCTCTGGCATTTGTTTGCCCTTTGGAGTGCCAGTCCTGGAAAGTGCAACAGGTGGTTATAGTGTGCACTCTTTGCAGCGGTCACTCTGAGACCCCTCCCAAGACTGGAAAGGTTCAGAAACTTGGCCTTCTTAGGGAAGATCCACTAAATGTACTTTTTCAATCTTAAAAGGCAGATTGATGCTGAAAGAGAGAGAAGAAATAACTCTAATCTTTGTTTTGAAGGTCAGGAGGCTAGTTTTCCCTGCATACTTGACATTATGGTGGTTTTTGTGAGTGTGAACTTTTAAAACTTATTGGTATGAAGTATGGTTTATCCCATTACTCACCATGAAGGTCATAACTGTGTTCAGAGGTGAAGGCGCAAGTGGATTTTTGACCAAAAGTCCTCTTTCTAACAGAAATTATTTGGATGGGTTAGGCATGTTCTTTCTGTCTGACCCTAGATATGGACCACTCCTAGGCACAGACACCTGGTGCTCCACAGTTTCAAAATGGATCGAGCTCTGCAGGCATCTAAAGTGCTCCTGAGTCATTTAGTCAAGCCAGTGACTTGACATCATGTGGATCATTAATCAAAATGAACACTACTTTGAGTACAGTTGGATTTTGGTTTGCTTTGGTTTTGGATTTTTGGAAATTTAAATTGAATTCAGTCAAACCAGCTTCTTTTTGGTAGCTTATGCACACAAGTTTGTTTGACTGAATTCAATTTAAGTTTCAAAAAAAATATACTGACTCTAGTTAAAATGTGTTCATTTTGATTATTGATCTGTATGATGCCAGAGTTACTCACTGGCTTCACTAAATTTTCCATTTATTTTTTTCTGAAAGCTATTTTGCTGTCCTGCATCAACTTTCAGGGTAGTTTTGGAAGATGAGAAATTGTACCTTAACTTTGGCAACTAAAACTTTATCCAGCTGTTGATACACAAGAAAGTAACATACGGCACTTTAGGGACCTCTTGTACCCCTTGAAGACTGGTGAATTTTATTTTGGAAAAAAATGTTTGCCTCCTTTTCATTTGAATTTTACTCAGAAATAATCACCTGGGTTCCACCAAGACAGATCTGATATCCGTATGCTTGCCTGAGAAGCTAGGATGTGTCTTTCCACGCACATTGCTCGGGAGAAGATGCTCTCGTGTCCTGTGAGCTGCCTGGTGCTTTTGCATCACTGTGTAACTGCACATATTAAAGTTGTAATACCGGGGGAAACTTGCTCTCTTCAAAATCACATTTTAAAAATGTTCTTCAGAAAGCCATTTTGCATCAGTATAGAATTTAACTTAAAATTTGAATTTGGAACTCAACTGAATGCACTCAAACTATTAGAAAGAGAAATTAAAGTGGGTGAAAAAAATGGCTTAGTTTATTCTGAAAACAATATTTAAGGTCAGAACTGTTTTAAAAAGAACACTGCTAAAAAGAGGATTCAGAGAAAGATAGTATTTTTGTACCTTTTCTTATAAAATGTTCAGACCTCTCTCTACATTCTCTTTACAATGTAATATCTAAGTAACTGGTTTCCCAATAAACTGATTTTGAGGCCTCTTCTGCTGTGTTCTGTGTGCTTAATTCAAGCAGAAACTTCAGCAGGGGACAATTTTTAGCAGAAATTGCTGCAAGCTGTTTACATAGAAGGGGAGAGGGCCACGGTGGGAGGGGATGATGGAATTCTGCCTGTACAGACGTTCGGAGTCATCTGCGGCTCCCAGTCATTGTACTGAATATTCTGATCCCAATGGGTTGGGAAACTCCACTGGTATCTCTTTATGGGCCTATGATGAATGATACCTTTACCCCCCAACCACCCTTTGTCTGGATTCTTCTTGCTTAGTTACATATGCCTTTTTCCTGCCCTCTTGCTAACATGTGCCCAATGACATACTTCTAACCTGCTAATATTTCTTGGAAGGTAAGCTCTCTTGCATTCTGATAATTGTCTATTTGATTTGAAAAGCCAGAGCACCCTGAGGCACCTCTACCTCGAGAGCCATAGACTAGTATATTGGAGTTTGCTGATACTTCAGTAATTACCCGTGCATTTTACTCCTGCTTAAACATCTTGTTGGATTCATTTAAGCAGAAGAGATCTTTGCTAACTTAGAAGACTGAAAATAAAATTCCAGGGCAGCTCCAACTGAAGGTGACTTTATTTAGTATGATTTTGATTCTATATCCTTCCCTTAGAAAGTACCTTCAGTAATTGAGGACTGGTGAATTTTATTTTGGAAAAAAATTTTTGCCTCCATTTCATTTGAAATTTACTCGGAAATAATCATCTGGGAACCAAGACAGATCCGCTATCCGTACGCTGCGGTGCACTCCGGTGCTCTGAGTAGTGCTTGTGATGTAAATTGTCAAGCAAACTTGGATTTACCGAGCCGCCACGCTCTGCTTCTTTACAGAGAGTCTGTCCCTCTGCCGGTGGAGCAGATGGCCACAGGCCAGATACTGAATTGAGTTCATTCCCAGACAGTGTTTCTACATAATCCAGAACTGTCATGGTATATGTGGAGATGAGTGACTGGGGTTTTTAAATTCCATTATGAGCCAGTGCCAGGTAGAGCAGGTGTCCGTGCCTGGCCCTGAGTAGGAGCGTTGTGTAGTTACGCTGAATGTCTGTGTGCCTAACATCTTCATCTCCTTCCTGCACATTGTGCCTTTCATGTTCCAAAATGTGAGCTAGTGGTTGGATGTGTTGCAGTTTGTGTGCAGTTTCCTTGCCTGACTTTTATTTTTCTGTTTTTTTCCTTTTCCATTTTCAACATCTATTATTTGGTCCCACATTGTTTCTGCCGCGATTGACCATTAAATGTTCCACAAAGAGTTGAAGTGACCTACACATTAATTCTGCATTTTATGCTTTTCTAGGTCTCCAGAGAGAGCCCGATCCCTGTCCTGTAGTCACTGTAGAGCACTTTAAAGAATCAGCGGGCGTGAAAGGCCTTCCCCTGTATCCAGACCCCTCCAGAATACCTGCCGCAAAGACTCAGAACAACTTAGAATCTGACTACTTGGCCAGAGATGGCCCTTCAAGCAACAGTTCTTTCCACAGCAGCGAAGAGGAAGGGACTGACCTGGAGGGAGACATGCTAGACTGCAGCGGGTCTCGACCTCTCCTTCTGGAGTCCGAAGAAGAGGACGAGAACTGCAGACCTCCCCAGGGGAAGCTGGGAGGAGCTGGCCCATTTGCCCAGCCCGAAGTCTGTACTGAGCAAGCAAAGGCAGTGCACGGTGAAAGAAATAGCCAGCTCCAGTCCCTCCCACAGCCAGCCACTGACGGTCGTGGTGAGCCAGATGTTTTTGCCACAGCTCCCTTCAGGAGCTCGAGGGCTCCAACTGATGACATGGACATTTTCTCCAAAGCCCCATTTGTCTCCAAGGGCAGTGTGACCCCCTCCCAGCCAGAGGAGGTGGATGTGTTCTTGAGAGCTCCTTTTACCAAGAAGAAAAGCATGGAGGAGTTGCCAGTTGCCCAGAGCTCCTCCCAGGAGCTGCCTGCACAGGCCAGTCTCCTCAGTCAGGCAGGTGATGTCCCACTGTTCTCAGGCCGTGAGAGAGCGGGGTATTCCTCTGTCCAAGCTCAGTATTCCATGGCTGGTTTTGTGCAACAATCTAACCTCCCCTCCCATTCTCTGCAAGCAGCAGACCATCTTGACAGCGTCTCTCCCATGGGATCCTCCCTGGAACCTGGAGGCCATTCTAATGACAGAAACAAAGGACCTCAGCCCCAGAAAGAAGCCGTTTCAGGACCAGTGGCTGGCAAACCATTCCGCCCCCAGTCGTTATCCAAATACTCACGTCACTATAGCCCAGAAGATGAGCCAAGTCCAGAAGTCCAGCCCATTGCTGCCTACAAAATTGTTTCACAGACCAATAAGCAGTCAATAGCTGGCTCTGTTTCCATTACATCCCTTTCCTCCAGGACTACGGAGTTGCCAGCTACCGATCCTTTTGCTTTAGCACCATTTCCTTCCAAAGCAGGCAAGCAGAAACCGTAGGAGCAGTACCTGAGCCTTAGGCCTCTCTCTCTACCCACCCCTGCAATATCTGCCACACCACTCCTTCCTGAGCCTTCCCAAGGAGAAATATTATCCATTATTATCTTTCAATCCTTTAAGTTAACAGACTCAGTTACAGCGATACTGAGATGAAGCTCCTTTAAGTTATGCCTATTTCTTTTGTTTCTGTTGAGTTCTGGACTTTCAGGCACTTCTGTTCCCTTCACAGAGGCCTCCCACCTTCACCAAAAACTGTGTTGTTGTTTTTTTTTAAACCCAGAAACTGTTCTAATCTAGGAATATTTTACCCAATCCCCAGGGGCCAAAACTCTTGATAGTTTTTATTCCTGCAGCTCCCGCTGAGTCATGTTCATTGAAGAGTCAAGATGAATTTCTCCAGGACTTGATTTAAAACTCTTGAAAAGAGATTTCTAGGAAGAAGAATATAAAAGTCTTGTGCTTCAAGAGAAAGTATAATCCTGCAACTACTAATCATTTCCTGTAGAACCAGCAGCTCTTGAAGGATTTTGTGGATCTGAGTCTGTGCAAGCCAGGCTGGGCCTTGTGCATAAATGTCTGTGGGTGTGTGATGTGCGTCAGAGCCTATCCTAGGTAAAAATGTGCACATACGGGAGAGCTGTGCGCATGTCCAGTCATCTGGGCAGGGCCTTCCCCACATTCACACTTTTTAAAGTATGGATGTATAGGCTTTGTGTGTGTGTGTGTGTGTGTGTGTGTGTGTGTGTGTGTGTGTATGCACAAGAAGCATTTTCCTTTGGGTAAACCCTATCCCACCACACCTACCTCCACAGTTGAATCAGTCATTTACTGGCATTTGCCTGCTGACCTCACTGACTTGAACCTTTTTTTTTTTTAGTTTTATTCTAATGACAAAATTGAATTCATTGGAAGGTGTAGGGAAATCTTGCTGGAGCTGAGCTTTCAGAGCAGATTTCTTCTCCAGAGTCTGCTCCTTATCATTAGCAGATTCTGTTTACTAGGCTATGGATATAGCTCAGAGGTAGAGCACTTGCCTAGCATACCCAAGGCCCAGGATTCGATCCCTAGTGTGGGGGGGGAAAGGTACAAATTGTATTTGCCTGGTTGTGGAAAATTGTCCTTCTGTGTTTTCCCCTCAAAACAGTAGAAAGGAGTACCTTATAGCTCTAGCTGATAGGTATCTAGACTCAATGCAGTCATTATAGAATTCATTAATCATGAGGGTAGGCCACAGATTAGATTTGCTTGTTTTATTTTGTTTTTGTCCTTTGTCCTTGCTGTCTTTCTCTGCTGCCTGTTGAGGAAATATAGACCTAAGACACTAAATAAATTTGTCTGGAAGAATAGAAAACAGCTGAATCCGTTAGTGATTTATAACTTTACATCCTGTATGCTCTTTAGATGTTAAAGTAGGGCAGACAGGTGACTGGCTTATGTTTTTGAAAGTGTCTTTTATTTCTGGAAGATCTGACTCATTCCTAGCTTTTTTCATACCCTTTATTTTTAGTGCCCTAAAATCAAACCTGCATGCCGATGGGAAGATTTCTGCTGAGGAAGTTCAATTTAACGGAAAGAGTCGCTGCATCAAGTTTCAACCTGAGAGCTTCCTGTGACTTCTAGGAAATGTTAGCGATCTCTCCATTCACAGGAGAAGTTCAGAGAGTTGGGTACCAAGACAGATTAGTGATTTAAGAATTATTGAAAATTCATCCCAAAAGCCTAAATGCCAAGCTCTACTATAATTGATTGGGTGTTATTTTGGAGGTGGGGAGCTCAGTGGTAGAACATATGCTTAGCATACACAAAGCCCAATGTTTGATCAAAAGAACCAAAAAATAAAATTCAGGGATCATGACAGTAAAATAAGAATAATACTTCTCTTTTTTTTTTTTTTTTTTTTTTGGTTTTTCTCTGGTACCGGGAACCGAACTCACGACCTTGTGCTTGCCAGGCAGGCACTTTGCCACTGAGCTAAATCCCCAGCCCCAAGAATAATACTTCTCAATAATTCCCTTTCTGTTCTGTTCTTTTCTGAAGTTCTGTTGATTGAACCCAGGTTCTCATGCATGCTAGGCAAGGTCTATCACTGAGCTACATAGTCAGCCCAACACTTTTTTTTTTTAAATTAGTCTCCATCTATTACAAATGTCCCAGTTAAAAGATAAACTTAAGTAATTGGTTCAGAACGGCCCGCAGAGGTTTTTCCAACCAGGTCTCAACTGTGCCTGAAACCTTTCATTTTGGTAGAAGTGTTTATTCTAACCATTTGCTTTCTCCTAATTATTACTTTTTGCTTTTCTGTGTAACAGTGGATGCAGAATTGTCTTTCTGTTCAGTGGTTTTGGCTAAATACACATGGACCTTTACACCCTAAACTCTCCCATGGTAGTTACCAAGTGAAATCCTCAAAGGCATGACCCAAGAGGAAAGGAATATTCAGGGAGTGTTCTCACCTGAAATCACAAACTCTTGTTAGGTCTGGTGGTGCACACTTGTAATCCAAGCTACTTGGGAGGATGAGTCAGGAGGATTGTTTGAGCCAAGGAGTTTAAGGCCACTCTGAACAGCATACCCTTGTCTTTTAAAAAGGAAGAGAAAGAAAAGGAAAAGAAACTCTTAACAGTAGGAGGTCATTCTAATTCATTCTTCCAAACATTTGTGATTATTTCATAACAGTCCTCCAAGATGTTTTTTCCTTAACTGATAGTTCCTACCAATCAAGTGACCATTTTAATTCTCAAGGTACAAATCAGAATGAAATTGTAGTGATTTTATTATGTAATAGAATCATTTGGGAAGCATGGGCTTGTTACCCTTTTGTACTCTATTGGAGACCTACAATAGGTAGAAACTACATACTTTCTTTGAATAGGGAAATGAATGTAACTATATTTTTTTTCTATTCAGTGATGCATGAAACATTGTATACATTACATTAATTATTAATATTTGGTGTATTCCAAAGACTAGTACTATGGTAGGGTTTTATTGCCTTCCTACTGGTTGTCTTTGGATCATACTGGGTAAATCTATCATTTAAAAGTTAAGTGCCCTTGCCAGAGGTCTTCCTGAATCTAGAAATCTGAAAAATTTCATCATAAGGGAAATCAGGAGTGCTTGGGATGCTATCAGTTAGTAGCAGTACATGTTTCCAGTATCCGTATTGCAACAATTTAAAATGTAAAAGGAAAAAGAAAATATATGGTCCACAAAATACTGCGCTTTAAAAAAAAATGTTTTATATGTTATTTGCTTTACACATTTGGTAAATATAGGAATCTGTGACCGTTCACTTCAGTGGAAAGCAATGAGATAGCATATATTTAGAGCGTTTAGCCGCAATGTGCACGGGTGAACTCTTAAGGAATAATGCTCACATTTCATTTTCTTGACCGGGATTACATACAGCTCTTGAGCTCCAAGTCCATGGTTAAATTAGAAAGATGAAAAAACAAAATTTGATGCTGAAGAAGATGCTGAGGTCATAAGCCCCGTTTGGTGTGGGCTTACTTGTTGAAAATCTCATATGTAGGTTGATGTATATGTTCATAGGAGCATGTTGTATCTTCATTTCACCGGGTAGCTAAAGACTCTAAACTTTAAACAAAGATAGTGGTATCTTACTGGCTTACTATTTAATAAGTTTTAGAATATGTACACACCAATATTTTCAACTACCTGGTGGACATTTCACTGATACCTAAAGTGGTAGCTTTAAGTGTAATCACCAGAGTGATCTGATGATAAAAACTTAGTGTTTTTCTTTCATAAAGAAAAATAATCTGAACATATCAGATCATATAATATGTATGCATTATATCAAATAGGAAATTGTATTGTAGGAAATTGAAGAAGAGAGATCCAGTACTTTCCAAAACAGGAAAGATACAACTACAACAAAGTCATTTGGGTCCTTTAAAAAAATTATTCTTTGCTGTGTCTTTGGAATTGAAATTGGAGGACACATTTCAGTCAATTCTGAAATGGCTGCTAGTCACACAGCAGTTTAATCTGAGAAACTTGGAACCCAAATTATTTCGATGAGAGGTACATAGGAGTGTTGCGGAAAACGATGGTGGAGCCCCTCCTTGATGTCCATAACAAACCCAGGTTTAAATTCTTCAATCCTTGGTTAAAGAAGTAAACACTGACTATTTTAAATGGAATGAATAGTTTTTCCCATTGCCTTTGTCAACTACTACTTGTTTTTTTTAACCACAAGAACACTTGAGAACTTGTTAATGAAAACTTCACAAAATGCTTAAAAATATAAAGTATCTGGTTGGAAACTGTTTTCGTTCTATCCCTAGGAAGTCTTGTACCTATAGCATTTACGCACTCATCATTCTCCTGTTTTCACCACACCAATAAGGGGATTAGGAGAAGTACTGTTGAGCTGTCATTTTGACTTTTAGTTGCCTCCCTTGTTACACACAAGTAAGTAGTTTAAGTTTCAGTCCAGCCTGTGACAGTCTCACCAGATAACGGTGAAATGGCTCACCTTCTCCATTTCTCCTGACTAGAAGATACAGCAAGATTGGCTGGATCCCAGCCTTACCTGGGATCCTGACCCTTTCCTTTGTCTCACCCAGAGTGCTCTAGAGTGCAGGACCAAGTTTATGTGTGAAGGGGCTCTGGAATAGCTGATAAAATGGGCTAAATGTTAACTACATGTGGCTTGTCTAGTAAACACATAAATTGTAATTCCATAAATTTAGTCTGAGCTATATCCCAGTAATCTCTGTGTGTGACACAATTCTGAGTTTATACTGATGATATTCTTGAAGTCAAGTCAGTGTTCTCTGGATTGCATTGTAAAAGAACTATATGGCAAGGAATTATAGAAGCCTTTTTTCTAACCAACGTTAGTTGGCTTATGACAGAGGGTGTAGCTCGGTGACAGAGCACATGCCTAGCATGCACAAGGTCCTGTGTTTAATTCCTAATGCCAAAAAAAAATTAAAAATGGGATACGTTAGACTTTGGGGGTGAAGGGAGACAGTGCAGCCTTTTCACACAAAATCAGTTGTGTTCTCTGAATCTACCAAAGATTCCTGTTTGAGGAGTGTGACTGGAGTGTGTGTCCGTGTGTCTGTACCTGTGTGCTTGCACATGCATCCCTGTGCTTGCTTCTATGGTATTAATTCCACGCCTCCTAATAAAAGCGTCCAAAGAATATTGAGAAGTGACCACGAAGCATCTGGCTGACTTAATTCAATTCCCTTTGACAAAAGCTCTAATTTAGAACCAGAGTTGTTTTCAGTAGACGTAGAGGCAATTGGCTCTTCACTGCCCTAGCCTCCTTCTGAAGCAAGCTGATCTACAAGGTGAGATTTGGTAGGGCTTGTCCTACGGACTCTTCGGTAGCATTTAGAGGGCAGTAGTGACCAGACACCACAAGATCTGCAGGGTGTTACTTTAAATGAGGGAACATGTAATGTCATTTTTTAGGAAATAGAAACCAAATAAAGGAAAGGACCATGCTCATTCCATGGGGAAAAGGTGAACTCTGGTGATGGTAGTAGGTTTGACTCAGTAAGGGAGTCTGTTCTGATACAAGGAGTATTAAGGGCATCAAGTCTCAGAAAACTAATGTATAAACAATCTCAAGGGCTGTGAACAAGGAAAAGGAAGGGGGGAAAATAGTCAATCTTAACAGTTTTTGCAATACCTCTTATTTGCAGAGTATTGGATTTATGTTATTGCACTCTTGGTGTGATCTATCTTATGTATCTGATAGTTTTATGCATAATTGTTTTGAGTTGTAAACTCCTATACACTTTATTAAAATGAACTTAATTAAATGACTATACTTTGTGGTTTTTCTTAAATGAAATCTTCCTTGAATTGAAGGAGGATCTATAGTTGCGAAAGATGTCTATAGGTACCCTTCACTAACATAAAGCCTAATAATACATTATTAATATTCTTAAAGAGAGACCAACATTAACAAAAAGAGAGAAGTCTTTGAAAAAATGAGCCTAAGAATTTTAAAAAACCTTACTGTGAAAGTGAACCTGCCTGTGCATTTCCTTTCTCAATCTGGGAAAGTAACAGTGACATTTGACTGAACTTTAGTGAGCCCAAACTTAAATTCAGAGAGAGTTGGCAATATCCCGAGTTCAGAGAGATGGCGTTCAAAGATCGAGGAATCCAAGGAGTTCTGACATAATACGCATGGGTAATGCCAAAGTTGCCTATTTTCTGATAATTTATAGTTAAGTATAGACCTCATCTAATTCTATAATTTGAAGTTCTTAGGGTGTTTATATTTCAAGTTAGTGTTAATCTAAAATGGCAGCCTTTCTTGCCTGTAACTGCAGCTTCTTTCAGATTCACAGCTTTCTGCAAGGTGTAGGATATGGCCCACCTAGTGGCTTTCTTAGTGAGAAACTAACTCCTGCAGGGTGAGCTCTGTTTTCATGCACCCTTTTGTGGCTCACTGGACTCTCAGACTGGTTGATAAGACATCAGCCAGGGAGGAGCTGCCCATATACTGCCTCCTGAGAGCCAAGAGAGAGAAATGAAAGAAAAGCCATGAGCAGATGGTTTAGATTGTTTCTGTAGGTTGAAGACAGCTCTTTTCTTCTTTCCGCTTACTATTTTCCCTTATACTGTATTAGTATAAAATAGTATTAAATCTGGGTTTGGGTTAGCGTAGGAGACCAAATAGTTCTCCTTCTGCTCTTACATAAGCTTGCTGCCTACAGACCCTAAAGGAGTCTCCACGTTCCTTTCTGCATGCAGCCCAGGTCTCTAGCAGTGGGATTTGGAGACCAGGACCAGTGTCCAAGATGGTGAAGTAGTTCTAGTAGTTCTACCAAATTCCCAAGTCACATACTCTTTTGGAGCAGGACTTTTTGTCCCTAAGCTCAGACTTTATTTTTCACTA